GTGGGAAGAACTCACTCAGGTTTGCAGCTGTCCCACTGTGCTTGGTGGAGTGGTTTTCCTGCCTGGGTGTGGACACGCAAGGACCTCACTCAGGTAACGGATGTCCTGCTGATGCCCAGCAAGGCTAGCTTCTGAATGAGCACTCACCAGGACCTCACTCAGTTTGCAACTATCCTGCTCCTGCCCAGTTGTGCTACACATCTGGTTAGGGATGTGCGAGTACCATCATAGAAAAACTCACTCAGTCTGTAGATGTACTGTTCCCGCTCAGCGGGGCCACCTGCCCCTGTGGGGACTCGCAGGGACCTCACTCAGGTTGCAGCTGTACAGCTTGTGCCCGGCAGGGCTGGTTTCTGGGTAGTCACATGTGAGTACCTCAGTCAGGTTGCAGATGTCCGGTGGGGTCTCAGTGGCAGTAGGCTGTGGTGTGGGCTATCGCTCTGGGTCATGGCAGAGGTGGTGGGGCGGTCGCTCTGGGGTCTTAACTATGTAATTAATCTTAACTTAGTCAAATTGCAGTTAAACTGGAGGAGAATGGGAATCCCAGAACATTTTGATTGTACTTACGCAAAACCTATACTTGGACCAGGAAGCGATCCACAGAACACGGCAAGGCAACACTGCATGTTGTTCAAAATCAGCAAAGAAGTGCATCAGGAATGCATCCTGCGTCCATACCTTTTCAATTTATATGAAGAACAGATCATTCTGAAGGCTAGTGGCATCAGGACTGGAGGAAGACTCATCAACAATCTACGCTATGCAAATGACACAACCTTGCTTACTGAAACTGAAGAGGATCAGAAGCACTTGCTGCAGAAGGTCAAGGACTGTAGTCTTTAATATGGATTGAATCTCAACACCAAGAAGACTAAGATTCCCATTCCTGGGGCCAAGTGGCAACACCATGATAGATGGAGAAGAGATTGAGGTTGTTAACAATTACAGCTTGCTCAGCTCCACAGTTAACACTCTTGGCACCAGCGGTAAGGAAATCAAGATGAATTTCATTAGGTAAATCTGCTGTCATGGACCTCTCCAGAGAACTGAGAAGCAATGATTTCAGTGTAGAGATCAAAGTGCACTTGATCTAGGTCATGCATCAGATAGCTGGACAATGACTAAGGATGACAGAAGAATTGATACCTTTGAGTTATGGTGCTAGAGTAGCATACCATGGATCACCAAGTAAACAAATAGGTCTGTCTTTGGGAGGAAGAAAGCAAGTTTCTCTTTGGAGGCTAGGATTTTTAAGCTTCATCTCACATCGTTTTGGCATGTGGCTATGAGTGACCCATCGTTGGGGAAGGACATCATGCTCAGAAGGGCAGAGGGACAGCACAGGAGAGGAAGACACCAGATGAGATGGACTGATTCAGGAACTAGCAAAATGGGTATAAGTGTGTTGGAGTCAGTGAGACAGGCTCAGGACAGGGCTGGCTTCAGAGCTGTTGCACAGAGGGTTGCTATAAGTCACAGGCAACTCAAAAGCACAATAACAACAACAATAACAGCATTAATATCACATGCAAACAAAATCTTGCTGCATATCATCCAAAAGTGACTGGAACAATACACTGAGTTATCAGAAATAAAAGCTGAGATTAGCAGGATACAAGATCAACATACAAAAATCAGTTGGATTTCTCTACAGCAACAAAAAGAATACAGAGCCAGAACTAAGAGAAACAATACCTTTCACAATAGCTGATCACAAGATTAAATACTTGGGAATAAATTTAACCAGAAGTACAAAGGACCTTTTCCAAGAAAATTACAA